GGGGGGGGGGGGGGGGGGGGGGGGGGGGGGGGGGCGGAAGGGGCTCCTGGGGCCCATGGGGCGGGCAGATTAGGAGGCGGGGGCATGAGTCAGGGGTTTGTGAGCTGCCCCCGGGGCACCGGAGTAAAGACCTGGTGCTGTTAGAGCGGGTGTGAGCTCAGCTGATCACAGAGGGCACCAGAGGCTGCAGGACTTCGCCAAGGGACCCCAGGCTCGTGAGCAGGTAGGCAGGGTTGGGAGGGGCAGGGGGTGGTCCTTCTGTGTCTGCCCTGAGGGCTTCTGCAGGTGCCCAGCCTGAATCTGTGCCCAGATGAGCACAGGCACCCCAACCTCCAAGGGGGTGCAGGTGGGTGGGATGAGAATGTTACCATGTGTGTGTTGCCCTAAATGGCACAGGCTCCTTGGCACCTGCACCTGGGGACAGTGGGCCAGTAGGGGACTCATGGCAGCAGAGAGGTGTGTGGCTGGTGTGTGTGTATGGGGGTAAATCTGACCCCCTCCAGGTGTGGGTTCTTGTCAGGCTCCTATTTACCAGCCACTTGGATCCCACAGACTCAGGTCTCACTCACTCCAGATCCCTCTTTCCTCCATGTATGGGGTCCCCAGGTCACTCCCTCTTTCACCTAGGAGGCAAGATGTCAGCTGACATTGCTTCCCATTTGGGACATGACCTGGAACACCTGGCACTGTCCTCATGCTGGAGAATATTTGGAGGGGAAAGAAGAGACTCCCACTACCTGAGGATCTCAAAACACATAGCTCAGGCTAATTCCATGGGAATCGAAGGCAAATCAGAGGGGAATGAAGATAGCAAGTCTGACCTTGACCCCACCAGTGGAGGGGATAGTGACAACAGACCTTTACATAGAGCTCTTTATGTGCTAGGCACCGTTCTAAGTGATATGCATACATATATATATATATATCAGTATCATTATTATCACCCCATTTAACAGATGAGAAAACTAAAGCACAGAGAGGTTGAGTCACTTGCCCAAGGTCACACAGTAAATGGCAGGACTGCGATTTGAACCCAAGCAGTCTGACTGCAGAGTCCATGCTTTTATCCATGAACCTTAAACCAGCTAATAGCTACTCTCTTTTTCTGGGAGGTGGCTCGGCATAGTGGTTAGAGATGTGGCTGGAGTCAGGCAGGCCAGGGTTTAATCCCATCTGTGATACCTACCTACTGGGTGACCACAGCAGGAAAACATCTCTGAACCTCAGCTCTCTCATCTGTAAGACAGGGCTGATGCCATTACCCACTTCACAGAGTGTCTTGGGGATTATAAGAGATAAGGCAGTACAGTTCTCTGTGCAGCATGGAGTGATCACACAAAGGTGGGGTGCTACACTACCAGCGAGCTGTCCCTATCATCTGGTCACCCCTGCCCTCTTCCCAGCTGTGCTTCACTGCCTGTGCTCCAGACGCCCCACCCTCCCCTTATCTGGCCTGGCCCTGGGTGGCTGGCTGGCTGGCCAGGTGTTTGGTGCGCTTCCAAAGACAGGGCAGTGATCGATCTGGGACCAGACTGTTATCAGCACCAGGCAGAACAAGGCCTGCAGCTGGGGGATGGCTGGGCTGGGCAGAGGCAGCAATCTGAGTCATGGATGCACCTTCTAAGGCCCCAGCTGGGCTGAAATCACCTCTGTTTTCCCCTTTCCTCTCTCTCCAATGTCTCAGATCCCCAGTGGGAAGGTCCTCTGGTCCAGATTGGGTGACTGAGGCCTAGAGAGAGGCTGGGAGCTGCCCGAGGTTGATCAGCCAGTGAGTGGCACAGAGGCAGGATGGATCTATGGATTCTCTGGCTCAGGAGGGCCCCTCTGACCATCTCACCCCTCAGATGGGAATCCAAGGCCACAGTCCCAGCTCCACAGGTGGGACATTAGCATCTAAGGCTTAGACACCCTTGAGGCTGCTCAGGATCTGAGGCCCAGGAGGACATATGAGCAAGTCCAGAGAAGGAAGAAAGAGAATAAGGATGGGAGAAGAGGAAGGGAGGGGAACTTGGGTAGCAGAGGAGAAGAAGGGAGAGAAGAGGAGAGAAAAGGTGTGTGACCAGGGTCCTCAAGGAGAAAAGCCCCTGCAGTAAGGTGGCTGTCACCTGCCGCGCCACCATCCCAAGGCAGGGCCCCTCCGTCTTCTCAGTTTGGTGGGGCTCGGTCATGTCCTTCCCCTATCTCCCAGCACTGCAGGACCACCTTTCCTCAGAAGGGAAGTTCCCTGCACAGTCCTCCTGTGTACAGTCCTGCCCTACACCCTCCCGGGGCACCCAGCCCTGCCGTGCACAGTGCTACCTTTGCCCGCCATTCCTCACACCTGGGTGGCTTTCCCCACCCCCAGCCCTTCCACCCCATCTGTGCATCCAGTGACTCTCCTCCAGGGTCACCCCAGCCCCACCAGTGGGTCCAACAATGGGCCATGCTGACCCTTGGCACCCAGCACATTCGGCCTCATGACTTGTGTTGTTTGGGGCACCTGTCATCTCTAGAAGCACTCAGGCTATTCCTGGTTTGCCTCCCAGTCTGGGCAAAGAGCTTCCTGAGAGCAGGGATGTGCCTTGCACAGCTCAGCCTCCAGGTGCTCAGCACAATGCCAGGCACAGAATGGACACATTTGTTGACCCAACCCAAATCCCTGTCACCACAATGCCCTGTGCTACAGTGAGTGAGAGGGGAAAAGGAGGTCCAGACCCAGTCTGGGGCCACCTGAGGTGACTGTTGTCCTCCCTTTGGACTGTCCTTGCATTCATGGGGTAGACATACCTTTCTCTCTGCTAGGGACAACTGAGAAGACTGAGGCCTGGGATCCGGTGGCCTCCTGGGTGGGTCCTAGTCATCCTGAGTCCCCAGTCCCCATCCTGAGCCCCAACCCTGCAATGGGGAGACATTCTTACAGTCATTCAACAAATGCTTACTGAGCACATATTATGTGGCAGCCACTCTGCTAGGAGTAGGGGACTGACACAGGCAGTGGCTTTACACTCGTGTGGCTTCCCTTCCAGAGGCATCTTCAAAGAATATGCATACAAATCAACCAAGGAACCAGGAAATGACAGACTGGGTTAGTGAGTGGAGCATATGGGTGGTCAGGGAGAGCCTCTGAAGAGGTGACATTCCAGCTGAGATGGGAGAAGGGCTGAGTGTGGGGGAGGGGCGTCCAGGTTGTGGATAACTGGCTGTGCTAAGGCCCTGGTGCAGGAAAGGACTGGGGAGTTCTAGGAACCCCAGGGAGGTCAAAGGATTAGGTGGGGAGACAGCAAGAGAGACAGGTTCAAAATAGGGGCAGAGAGACAAGCAGGGTCACACCATCCAGGACCTGTGGGCCACTCCTGAGGATGCTGCAGCCCCATGCCCGGAGGGAGCAGTCATTTCTGGGAGAAGAGGTGTATTGTGGACACCCTCAGGGGAGTTAAGCCCTCTGAAGAGGGGACAGGTCATGTCCCTGGTGTTGGCTGATTCCTGGGAATGGGCAGGAAAAGAAGCCAGGCGAGGACTCGTGAACAGAGAAGGGCGACAGACTTGAAGGACACCTCCACCCTCCCCCAAACTCCCTTAGACTGATGCCAGCCAAGCCTCCTCTTGCCCACACGGCCCCGTCTCCCGGTCCCTGCACACCTGTCCACTCACCTACAACCCAGCTCTTCCCCACCCCACCCCTACTTCCTGCCTCTGATCCCCACCATGTCCCAACACTGGGGTCTCCCTTCCCTGAAATGCAGCCCCCTCTGGGGGAGGACCAGGAAACCCCAGGATGCCCTGTGCCTCACTCAGCCTATGCCCCTCCTCTACAGGGACCACCGTGCAGGTTATGCTGGGGGCTCGGATCCCAGGGGACAATTGAACAGTCAGGACAGCGCCATGGAGGACTTGCAGGTAAGTCTTTCCTGGCATCTGCAGGGCTCCTACCTGGGGGCTCTGGGGACCCAGCCCTGGACTCCTAGCTTCATGGAGGCTCGAGGAGGCCCTCACAGCCCAGCCTTGGTGGCCGCTTCCCACAGGAGGATTTCGAAGAGGTGCTGGAAGAGATTCTAGAGCCAGAAGAATATGAAGACCCAGGTGACCCCGTGCTCCAGGTGGAGGAGCCAGCAGGTGAGCTTTTTCTCTCTCCCTCTGCCGGGATGAGCTGCTGAGCCCCAGACAGGGCCAGTAGGTAGGGGAACTTGTCCTTTCCCCTTCTCCACCATGGCCACCCCCAGCCCCAGTGCGTGTTCTCCCCACAATCCTGGCTGATCGAAGGATAAACAGAGTTTTGTTTAAAATGATCACAGGAGGTGAGTGGGGGTGGGGGGAGCAGGGCCAGTCACCCATCCAGTGCCCCTTCGATGTGCGAGAGGGCAGCCAGGCCCATTTGGGACAAGGGCATGAGCCCATCCCTGCCCATCCAATGCCAACTTCTAGGCCAGGCACTGGGCCTGTTCTGGGAACATCATTCTGTCTTGGGGGCCTGAGAAATGGGGGGCCCTTGAGGACCCCCTGGGCAGAGAGACCTCAGGAACTGGCAGCACATTCCTTGGCCTGTCCAAGGTCTTAGATGGGGAGCCCCAGGCAGGGGCCTGTTTACTGTCAACAGGACTTAAGTGCCAGCAATTGCTATTGAAGTAGAGGCGCCTCTGGGACGTGAGGGCTGGAGGGGGGGAATATAAGCAGCGCATCCCACCCTGGTGCCAGCGCCTGGAGCTCGACCTGGAGGCACGGAGAAGCTACCGGGCTGGCGGGCTTGTTGAGGCAGGTGGGAAGAGAAGGGATCCAGTCCCAGAACGGACAGGGGAGGAAGGAGACCCCAGGATGCTCCTGAGAATTGCTATTCACGACTCTCCAGTCACCTTGGAGAAGTCCCTTCCCATCACCATGGAGGGGCTAGGCCTCCCTGGCTGAGTCTCAGGGATCCTCAGTAAGGCTCAAATGGGAGTGACAGAGCCAGGCGTGGCCCAGAACAGGCATGTGGAGCCACATGCCACTAAGTGGCAGGGTGGCGTATGGGCACCAGGACCCCAGCCCAGGGGCGATGCGTGGGCACCCCCTCACCTGGGTCTCTGACACTCACAGTGGGTGGTGCAGAAGGGCCTTGGTGGCAAGGGGTGGTGTCATCAGGGGACAACACTAACCAGCCTTCGGGTTTTCAGCTCACCACACCGAGCCAACAACCACAGACTACCACGCCACATCGTACCAAGGCACTCACGAGGTGAGGACCCCAGCCTCCCCCAATTCTCTTTTCCACACTGCCTCTGGGACCCACCATCCTACCAGGGAAGGAGGAGCAAATGGACAGAGGCGGCTTAGGTGGGGGAGACCCCACAATAGGCAGAGGAGCGGGAGACCTGGGAAACAAGAGGAAGGGAAGGGGACACCCCCACTGTGGGGGAGACCGGGGCTCTCTTCTGGGAGCTCCTTGGGCTCCTGGGGTCTGAGTGTCCAAGCCTTCACGCCCTGGTGGCCTGTCAGGTATTCAGTGGAGAAGCACAGAATTAAATACACACTCTCCTCTGCCCAGGCCTCCCAGGTCTCTGCTGGATGCCAAGCTGGTTAGGAACTTGGGTTTGCCCTCCGCTGTGGCCCCAGGAGTGACCACCTGGGCCCAAGGCCATGAGCCACACACCCAGTCAACAGTCTTGGAAGCAGGAGACAGACCCAATGACTCCAGTCCCCAACTTTCCCCTCCTTTCCCTCCCAAGAGGCACTCCAGAACCCCTTTTAGCCCAGAGGTTCTGCAAACACCTTCTGAAATGGGATGAGGACCTGGTCAGGAAGTTGGGGGATGGAGTAAGTGGTGTGGGCTGTACCTACACGACTCTCAAGCATCTCCCCGTGCTCTGAGCTCAGGGCCCAGAGCCCTGGGCCTTTTACGAGCCTGTCTTGAGAGCTGCAGGGTGCCCACTAGGCCCCGGGATTCCCATGTCCCCATGGCCCTGCCCAGGGCCTGATGGGCTAACTCAGACCTGGGGGGCTGCAGGTCTACGTGGAGCTGCAGGAACTGGTGATGGACGAGAAGAACCAGGAGCTGCTGTGGATGGAAGCGGCGCACTGGGTGCGACTGGAGGAGAACCTGGGGGAGGACGGGGCCTGGGGCCACCCGCACCTGTCCTACCTCACCTTCTGGAGCCTCCTGAAGCTGCAGAGAGTCTTTGCCAAGGGTGAGTCCCGCCGGGTCCCTCCCATGGGTGACCCCTGCGTGGGAGGCTCTTTGGAGGGGCCCAGTCCGGCCGCCCCGCTGACCCCTCCACTGCTTGCAGGTACCGTCCTTCTGGACCTGTCGGAGACCTCCCTGGCTGGGGTGGCCAACCAGCTGCTGGACGGGTTTATCTACGACGAGCAGATCCGGCCCGAGGACCGAGACGAGCTGCTTCGGGCCCTGCTGCTCAGACACAGGTGCCCCTGCCGGCCGGGGACTGGACTCCACTCCCAATGGACCCACCTGTCCCAGCCCACCCGCGTCATGGTCTCCCCTGGGGTCCGATGGCCCCTCCCCCACCAAGAGGGGGCCCACTTTTGCTCTGCTGTGGCTCCCACCTGATGCCTCTCAAGGGGTGACCATGTCTCATGCTCATTGGAAAAACCCTTGAGGCCCTTTCCTCCATCCATCATTTTGATCCCACCTGGTCATTCCAGACAGAGGCCACTCACTTACCTCCACAGAGTCCTGTGAGAGGAGGCTCTGATTCTCCTGCCACCCCATGGTCTCTCTGGTCTGGTTTCTGGCAAGTCCCACTTGATGTCTCCCCTTGATCCCTCCCACCACTTGTCTCCATTGTGCTGACAGTCCAGCCTGAGCAACTTACTCAGCCCGTGTCCCCTGTGTGTCCTGCAGCCACGCTGGAGACCTGGAGGCCCTGGGGGCTGTGAAGCCCACAGTCATGACACGCTCTGGGGATCCTTCACAGCCTCTGCTTCCCCAAAGCCCCTCACTGGAGACACAGCTCTTCTGTGTGCAGGTGAGGCTGCGCCAGGGGCGTGTAGGGACAGCTGGAAAGTCCCCAACCCCAACACGGTTAGAAGCGAGAAGGGGAAGGGGAGGAAAGGGCTGGATGCTGAGGTCCCCCACGTCCAGAGTGGCCTAAGGACTCCCCTGCCACCCTCCTTCCCACAGGGAGAGGGGGGCTCGGGAGAGCGCTCAACATCTGGAATTCTGGAGAAGATTTCCCCGGATTCAGAGGCCACGCTGGTGCTAGTGGGTAAGAGCTGGTGTCTCCACCCCTCACCCCTGCACTCTCTCCACTTCTGGCCCAGCCTGCCTTTCCCTCAGCCTGGACCCCAGTGTCCCCTCTCTTGGCCTGACCCTCTCGTCCCGCCACAGGCCGCGCTGCCTTCCTGGAGCGGCTGGTTCTGGGCTTTGTGCGGCTGAAGGAGCCAGCAGCGCTGGAGGCCCTGGAGCTGCCCCTGCCTGTGCGCTTCCTCTTCGTGTTGCTGGGACCCGAGGCCCCCCACATCGACTACACCCAGCTTGGTCGGGCTGCTGCCACCCTCATGTCAGAGAGGGTGAGGAGGGCTGGCAAGGGCTGGGGGAGCCAGGGAGCCGGGTGGCAGCAGGTGGGAGCTGAGGCCCATTCCCCGGCTGGACCGGCCCCTGTTACTTTACGTTCACGAGTTTGACCCATTCAGTCTAATCCAGCTGCTTCTGTCTGGCCAGGGGTAGTCCAGGTGCACGTAGTCTGACCTGGCTCTGTTGGATCTGGCTAGTCTAGATGGCTCTGGCCTGGCTGGTCTAGTCTGGCTCACTCTTACCTGGTTAGGTCTGGCTTGGTCTGGCCTAGTCTGCTCTAGTTCCAGCTGACCTGCCTAACCCACCTAGTTTGCTTTAGCTCCTCCTCCTTTCCCCACCCAGGGCCCCTGTCTGTCTCCCCAGAGCCACTTCTTAGTAGGAGTAGGGTGGGAGGGGCAGGAAAAGCAGTCCCTAGCAGGGGGACCTGGATGAGAGGGTTCTCGTCCCTGGAGGCCCTGACTGTGGCTCCTGGGTCCTTTCGCTCAGCAGATTCGGGGAGCCCTGACCCTCTCTCCTGCCCCCAGGTGTTCCGCACAGATGCCTACCTAGCGCAGAGCCGGGGAGAGCTAGTGCGCTCCCTGGAGGGCTTTCTGGACTGCAGCCTGGTGCTGCCTCCCACAGACGTCCCCTCCGAGCAGGCCCTGCTCAGTCTGGTGCCCGTGCAAAGGGAGCTGCTTCGGAGGCGCTACCTGCCCAGCCCTGCCAAGCCAGACCCCACCTTCTACAAGGGCCTAGGTACCTGCCCTGCCCAAGCCACGGCTTCCTGAGCCCCCACTGACCCTCAGACACCCCAATACAACCTCCCCTCTTCCCATCAAATACCCCTCTGTCACCTCTCCTTGTGCCCATGCCTCCCAGCCTCCTTGGCACCCCATTCCCATCAGACGATAACCCCTTCACCCCCTCTGACCATGGTCCCATCCTCCACCACAGATTTGAATGGGGGCCCAGGGAGCCCTGGTGTTCCAGATGACCCTCTGCAGAGAACAGGCAGGCTCTTTGGGGGCCTGGTACGTGACATCCGGCGCCGCTACCGCCACTACCTGAGTGACATCACCGACGCGTTCAGCCCCCAGGTCCTGGCTGCCGTCATCTTCATCTACTTTGCTGCCCTGTCACCTGCCATTACCTTTGGTGGCCTTCTGGGTCAGTGCCATGCCTGTCCCTCTAACTCTCTCACCCTTGACCCTCGGGCCTCTGCCTCGGCCCTGACTTTTGACTCGATCTGACCCTCTGGACCCCTGTATCAGCCTGCCCATGTCTTGCTCTATTGGCCCCTGGAAATGATCTCCTGACCTTGACTCACTGTGACTTCTACCCACAGGAGAAAAGACCCGGAACCAGATGGGGGTGTCAGAACTGCTCATCTCTACTGCAGTGCAGGGCATTCTCTTCACACTGCTGGGGGCTCAGCCGTTGCTCGTGGTTGGCTTCTCAGGACCGCTGCTGGTGTTTGAGGAAGCCTTCTTCTCGGTAGCTCTGTCCTGGCCCCGCTCTGACCCTGACCCTGTAACTGACCCCTGGCCCCACCTGTCTGATGCGTGGTGCCTTAGCTCCTTTTGTCTGACCTCACTCCCTCTGACTGCCCTGCAGTTCTGCGAGGACCGCCAGCTGGAGTACCTCGTGGGCCGTGTGTGGATCGGCTTCTGGCTCATCCTGCTGGTGGTGCTGGTGGTGGCCTTTGAGGGCAGTCTCCTGGTCCGCTTCATCTCCCGCTATACCCAGGAGATCTTCTCCTTCCTCATCTCCCTCATCTTCATCTATGAAACCTTCTCCAAGCTGATAAAGGTAGGGGCTCATGGGACGTTAATGCACGTGTGAGACTGTGTACAAGACCATGTGACTGTGTGTGTCATTGTACACGCGTCTGTGCAGCATTTGTGTGGCTGAGTTTCCACCCGTGTACATAACCGCGTGACTGTGCAGCTGTACTGACTGTGACCATATACGTGTAACACCTGCTGCCTGTGGCCCAGCATTCTTGCCACGACTGTGCAGAGTGACTGCGCATGAGAGGGCACCTCTGTGTGCACTTGTCCGTGTTCATGACCACACAATGATGTGAATGAGGCAACTATGGGTTTGAGACTGAGCGTGGGAAACTGGATGCGTGGTGAGGGCAGTGGGGGCTCGGGACGTTCTGCGGATCCCCACTCTCTGTCCTGTACTTGATCGCAAGAACTCCAGGGCCTGCCGATGGGGCGCCCTGCCTCCTCAGCTTGTCACCTGTCATCCTAGTCTATGCCTGTCTCTGTATCTGCACTTTGGACGGATAAAGCGTAGACACTGTATTCGTATGTCTTCCCTTGGTTCTGTTGGTTGGTAGGTCTTTCTGTCTCGAGATCTTTTAAGCCATTTTTAGAAAGCTCCTTGGCAAGTGTGTCTTTCCCTCCAGCCTTCTCGCGTCTTTCAGGCCCTGGCTGCGCATGTGTGCACACGCATCTCCTCACTGCCTCCGTGGCCCTCCTCCGCCAAGCCTCATGCGGTCTTCATTCCAGAAAACCAGTGTAGAATCCCATCGCCCCTGTTACCACGTCAGTGGAGGAAGAATATGGATAGACACACGGATGGATGGCGGATGAATGGAGAATGGATGAGTGGATAGACAGATGGACAGATGGACGGATGGGTGATGGATCGATGGGTGGGTGGATGGATGGATGAATGATGGACGGACGGATGATAGAGCTGGGTGGGTTTAACTGATACTTTCCAGCCAAGCCAAGGCTGAAAGAGAACAGGGTGCCTTGGTTTTCTGCTGCAGATCTTCCAGGACCATCCGCTGCAGGAACATTATGACCCCAGTGTGACGATTACATCCAAACCTCAGGCCCCCCTGCCCAACACAGCCCTCCTCTCCCTCGTGCTCATGGCTGGCACCTTCTTCTTCGCCATGATGTTGCGCAAGTTCAAAAACAGCTCCTACTTCCCCGGAAAGGTCAGCACACCCTCCCTGCCTGTCTTTGCCTACACTGCTCTATCCCAGTCCAAGACCCCCACCCCCACTAGCTTCCCCAGTGCCCTTAGCTCAGTTCTTATCCTGGACTCCCATTCCTAATTCCCAAGCCTCTCTGACCTGCTCCTCGCCCAGGGCTTCACTCTGCAGGTAAGCCCATCTCCCTTAGCATGTCCAGCCTGAGAAGCCAGTGGGGAACCAGGGAGAGTTCTTGAGACGGGGTAGAGAAGCTGTGGGGCCAGGGGTGGGGCTGGGCCAGGGGAAGATAAAAAGAGGCAGGTATAGTGGAGGTACAGGACAGTGCATTAGATGCTGATGGCTCTCCTGGAACGAGCAGGGCCCCCTGGGTGAGCGTGGGGCAGGAGGGGGGACAAGTGGGAGGCAGGAGGTGAGGAGCGACTGGACACTGACCACTGGTCCCTTCACTTGCCCCCAGCTGCGTCGGGTCATCGGGGACTTCGGGGTCCCCATCTCCATCTTGATCATGGTCCTAGTGGATTTCTCCATCCAGACCACCTACACCCAGGTGACCCCTCCTTCCAGCCCTCACAACCCCATGACACCCCCCACCCCGCCACAGGTTCTCACTTCCTTCCCCAGGAAGCTCCTCCCCACAACAGCTCCCTCTACCCCATCCTGGCCACCCCTGGGAGCTGCACAGCTTCACAGGACCCCTCTAGCCAAAGCGAGGGGCTAGGTCAGGCTACCCACTTTGCTCCTTAAGCCATAGCCATAGGAAAGAGTCTGCTCTGGAGCCAGGCAGATTTGGGTATGAATCTCAGCTCTGCCACCAAGTAGCTGTGTGATGTGGGGCAAGCTGCATAACTTCTCTGATTCTGTTTCCTCATCTATAAAGGTGGGAATGAGAAGATGCATGGCAAGGGGTTAGTGCAGTGAGTGGGCACAGAGCAGGTACTTAATATAAGAAAGTTCCCAAGTGCCCCCAGCCCAACTCCCTGACCCCCAGGACCTAGCTCCCCCTGCCCCTGGCGTTCTCAACTGGCTGCCCCCTCCCATAGAAACTCTCGGTGCCGGATGGCCTCAAGGTGTCCAACTCCTCAGCCCGGGGCTGGGTCATCCACCCACTCGGCTTGTATAAAGACTTCCCTATCTGGATGATGTTTGCCTCCGCCCTGCCAGCTCTGCTGGTCTTCATCCTCATATTCCTCGAGTCTCAGATCACCACGTAAGAGCCAGGGTGGGGACTGGGCCAGGGAGGGCCCGAGGCAGGGAGAGGGGCGGGCTCTCGGCAGGGAGGAGAGGCGGGCTGCATGCACGTGCTCAGCGGCTCAGCGGGACCTGCAGCACTCCCGCCTAGCAGGACAGATCCATGGTCAGGGCAGATCCAGGTTTTGTGGGACCTGAAGTTGTATCATTTGGAGAGCCCTTTTAAAGAAAAATAACGCAAAATGAAGACTATCAGATTATGTACTGGGTCTTGGAAGGGGCCTGTACAAGCAAAGTCCTCTGAGGCTTAAGCTTCATTAGCTGTGGATGGTCTGGAGACATTCCTGCTCTTTGGGTCTGGATTCTCCAGATGGGGCGGCAGGGAGGGCAGCAAGGAACTCAAAAGGGGATGGGCACAGAAGGCAAAACTGAGGGGGGAGGAAGGAGGGGACAGATGGGTGGGGTGCAGGAGAGCCCTGCTTACCCCAGACCTGCCCCCGCCCCCAGGCTGATTGTCAGCAAACCTGAGCGCAAGCTGATCAAGGGCTCCGGCTTCCACCTGGACCTGCTGCTGGTGGTGGGCATGGGCGGGGTGGCCGCGCTCTTTGGGATGCCCTGGCTCAGTGCCACCACCGTGCGTTCTGTCACCCACACCAACGCCCTCACTGTCATGGGCAAGGCCAGCACCCCAGGGGCTGCAGCCCAGATCCAGGGTGTCAAGGAGCAGCGGATCAGTGGGCTCCTGGTCTCTGTACTCGTGGGTGAGTGAGCACTGGCCACACTCGCCTCCATCCTCCTGCCCCTCCCCTGCCCCTGCCCCTCAGGATCCAGTGTCCCCTCCAGTCTCCCCCCACAGGAGCCAGGTGCCCACACACCCACTGCCCACAGCTCCCTAGCATCAGTTATGCACAGGAGGGACTCCTAGAGGAAACGCCAAGGCAGTGGGATGGGCATCAGAAGCTCAATGAACCGTGGATTCCAGGGCAGCCCTGCTGCTAACTTGGTACCCTCCTTGTCTCTTAGCCTCAGTTTCCCTGTTTGCACAGATAGAAAGCTTTTTAGCTGTCCCAAGTTCTCTTCCAGCCCAGCTGCTCTAAGACTGATGTAAGGGTTACGCTCCAGGCACAGTCTGGGCAGTGGGGAGTAGACAGAGGGTCACTGGGGTCAGTTGGAGCTCTGGAGCAGCCGAGAGTACAGCTGTGCCCGCGGTGGGAAGAGCCACGGTCACTGATGGAGAGAGAGGTCAGGGAAGTTTCTTAAAGGAAGCAAAGTTGATGTTACTTGGAGAAAGGTTAGGATTTGGATAGGTGGAGGGTGATGGAAGCATTCTGGGCTGGAGTGAGGAGAAAGGTGGGTTTCCCTGACCTGTGACCCTGACTAGGTTAAGGAAGTGGGCTTAAGCCAGGCAGGCAGAAGTTTGACTTCCTGCTAGCTGTGTGGCCTTAGGCAGGTTATTCACCTCTCTGAACCTGTTTCCTCATCTGTAAAATGGGGCTAACCCATAGTCTGGCCGGTTAGCTCACTTGGTTAGAGTGCAGCCTTATAATACCAAGGTCATGGGTTCGGATCCTCATATTGGCTAGCCACCCAAAAAAAAGAAAAAGAAAAAGAGGACCCATAGAAAAGGCTCCATATGTCACCTGTGGTTTCATTCCCCAGCCCTATATATGGGCCTGGCCCCTGCTGGCGCCGATCCCCCGGGTGACCCGCAGCTGAGAGTGTGCATTTCTCCCACAGGCCTGTCTATCCTCATGGAGCCCATCCTGTCCCGCATTCCCCTGGCTGTGCTGTTTGGCATCTTCCTCTACATGGGGGTCACATCCCTCAGCGGCATCCAGCTCTTTGACCGCATCTTGCTTCTGTTCAAGCCACCCAAGTACCACCCGGATGTGTCCTACGTCAAGCGGGTACAAGACCCTCCCAGCTGCCTAGCCCCAGGTGGGGTGGGGGTGCTGGGGCAGGGCAGGCATTGACCCCAGCTCTGCCTGCAGGTGAAGACCTGGCGCATGCACCTGTTCACGTGCATCCAGATCATTTGCCTGGCAGTGCTGTGGGTGGTGAAGTCCACGCCTGCCTCGCTGGCCCTGCCCTTTGTCCTCATCCTCACTGTGCCCCTGCGACACTTCCTGCTGCCGCTCATCTTCAGGAAACTGGAGCTCCAGTGTGTGAGTGGCTGCCTAGGCCTGGGCCCGGAGGGAGGGCACAGAGAGGGCATCCTGCAGAGGGGAGAGACTAGGGGCAGGACTCCAGAGCTGGGGGCACGGAGGGGGCATCGGAAGAGCTGGGAGGATGTGGGAATGGGTCTCAGAACTAGGGAAGGCAGGAGAGCGTGGTCGTGAAGGTCTGGGTCTCTGGTCCAAATCCTGGCCTGCCGTGTCCCAGCATATGATATGGAGCAAGTGGCTTCATTTCTCTGGGCCTCCGTTTTCCTCACCTGTAGAGGTAGGGAGAATGACAGGGCTGGTGAAAACATCAAGAGGCACACAGGATGTGCTCCACATGAGCTGTCCCCACCCCTGAGTGGCTTGTCCTGTGCTCTTCCAAATCATTTTGGACAGAGTTGCTCCTCTAATAAAATTCTTCTTCAACAGGACACGGCTCACTGTGGGGCTGCCCTGGTGAAGGGGTCCCCTGCTCACCCTGGGTAGGCCCTCCTCTGGGGGGTCCCAGCTCCCCCAGGGGCTCCTCACCCTTTGAAAGCTGCTCTTTTTTTTTTCTTTTGGCGGCTGCCCCATAGTATAGGAATTCTTGACCTTGGTGTTATAACACCGAGCTCTGACCAACTGAATTAATCCGCCAGCTTGAAAGCCACTCATGTTGACCAACCTTAGAGGCTGGGGGGACAGGACAGGACTTGTCTGAGGTTCAGACCCTCTCCCAACTCTCTGGAGCAGAGGCCCCTCCAAGCACAGGAGATGGGGGTTTCATCTGGCCCTGAAGTCTCTCACTCCCTCTCCTTCCTGTCCAGCTGGATGCCGATGATGTCAAGGTGACCTTTGATGAGGAGGAAGGTCGGGATGAATATGATGAAGTGCCTATGCCTGTGTGAGGGGTGCGCCCCACCCCCACCCCCACCCCATTCCACTTCCCCACCCTTCCAGGAAAAGCAGAAGTTCATGGGCACCTCGCAGACTCCCAGGCCCCTCCTGGGGCAGCAGCTGAGGCCCCAGGGCTGCGGGTTGGGAACAAAGGGGTATCTAGAAAAGGAGTGTTCCACAAAGGGTGGGCTGGCTTTCCTGGCTGGAGGTGACCAATGGGGCCCACCTTAGGGGATTGGCTCACAGTCCCTCCTGCTGTCACATTGCCACGTGGGGATCTGTGCTGGAAGGCCAAGATCTGAGCCCACCTCTTCATGGCACAGACGTGGGCAAGAAGCAAAGGTGTGTGTGTGGGGGGGGTTCAAGTTCCTGCTTGCTGTGTGACCTTGGGCAAGTCCCTTGACCTTTCCAGCCTCTGTTTCCTCTTCTGTAAAATTGGTATATTGATAACAATACCCTCTTTACAGGATGGCTTCTGAGGACCAAAGATAAATGCGAAAAAAGGTCTTTATAAACTCTGAAAGGACTATTCCACAATAGTCCTCATTCTCTTTCTGGCCTGCCCAAGGTCACACAGCTCCTGAACCACACACTTGGAGTTTGAACCAGACCTTTGAGGCCAGAGTTCTGTCCCCTGTCAGTCATCCACCTTCCTAGACTGACTCAGAAATGTCCCCACTGACTCCTTCCTTCCCTCCTCTGTTCCCAAACCCTCCCTTGAGACCCTCTTCTCTGGGCCAGAAGGAGGTGTCCTGGTGAGGGCAAGTGCAGGCGAGGATACAACAGGGACTGGGACCCGGGGCTCCTAACTGCTTGCTCCCTCCCTGCAAGCGCTCCTTCATTCCACAAATATCTACTGAAGGCCCTGGACCCTGTGGACACAGAGGGGACTGAGACGAGAGCCTGCCCTGGGGTGGGGGTGGGGGGCAACTGCACAGTCTGTTCTACGGAGAGATGGGGAGGGGGAGGGAGGGAGGTTTGTAATTTATTAATCGTGTATTTTCTAACAGCTTCCACTTGTTTTTTTACTTTGGCTTCATAAACACTCCCAAGCCCTCCATCAGAGACCACTGTCCCCATCCCATCCAAACCAAATCTTAGGGAGAACCCAGATATAAACAATTGGGATAGGAGACAGTGGGCTCTCCAGAACATGGGCAAAATCTATTTTCTTACAAAACAAAAGTATAAAAAGAGTTGAAAGAGCTGCAAGTGGTAAGAGATGGGAGAAGCTGAGAATCCCGGAGTGCCAGAAAGGAAAGGAGAAAACAAACAAAATTGAAAAATTTTAAAATTTTTTAAAAAAGGAGAGGACACTGTGGGTTCCTGATGGGAGAAGGAAGCTCTCAGGGCATCCCTGAAAGTTGACACCCACCTCCCTCCACTTACTTCACTGTTCTGTGCCTCAGTTTCCTCATCTATAAAATGGGGACGATAATGGTACCTACCTCGTAGTGTTGTTATAAGGATTAAATGAGACCGTGAGAGCAAAGCCCTTGCTTAGCGCAGAGCCTGCTTTGGAGGGGGAGCTGCTGGAATCGTCATTCTGATTGCGATGTCCCTGTCCCTCCCTTCCCCTGCTCCTTGAACATTGCTAAGGAAAGTGAAAAAAAGTCACCCACTCTGCTAGCGCTCTTCCCCTTAATGCTTGGGAATAGGTTTTCCCAATAAATGTGTCTGTGTTGGAGTGGCTGCCTTGCTTAATTTCCCCTTCCCAGAGTTGGTGGTCAAAGGGGTCTTGGCTGGACCAGGTGTGCATGGTGTGCACTGCGTGCCCTGTGTGGGACCAGTGCAAGGCAGCAGCCACCGGGGGCAAGGAGGACCAGGCTGAGGGTGGCCCTGAGCCCTAGGGTGGAGGGGTCCAGCACCCAAGAGTGCATGGGAGAGCCAGAGGAGATGAGTTTATGCTTTGGGCATCCTTTCTCTCTCGAACAAGCAAGGCCCGTGGGGATGGGGAGAGGAGCTGTAAGGGGACCTTGCCCCTGCCTCTTGTATTTGTGGACTCTCAAGTCCATTTGGACGAGTCAGCCCCTTACCCTGGACTCAACAAGCTAGACAGCACCTTTGAGAGAGACCACCAGAGAAGAAAACGGAGGCCCAGAGAAGGAACATGACTTGCCCTAGGTCACACAGGAACAGCATCTCTTGACCAGCTTTCTACTTGTCCTCACCCGGGTCCCCTTTGGTGACTCTGTCCCCTGTTCCCAACCACTTTCAGCAATTCTAGGGAGCTGATGGGCCAATTGTCATCCCCTCTTGGAGAAGAGGGTGCCAGGATGTCATCCCTCCCCACCCTCTGCAGCCGTTTAGCAAGAGGTCAGCACAGGGCTAGGCTGCCTGGCTTCCTTCCCTGGATCTATATTTACTTACTGCCTGTCCCCAGCTGACCCTTCCTAGGCTGGCAGGGCAGCTGCCAAAGGGTGGGAGAGCTACTTGGCCCCAGGAAGAGTGGTCCCAGTGCCCACCTCCCACACACAGCAGCTGCTCTGTCCCCACAGCATTGGCCCTGTCCCCAGGGTTTGCTAAACCGCCATTCCCCACCTCCATGCACTGGAAGCCAGGCTATGAGACAGGCCTGCAGAGGGCTCAGGCCAAGGGTGTGCCAGCGCCCTCCCACAGGCAGGCTGTGTGGCCCTGGACAAGCCTGTCACTCTCTGGACCTCAGTTTCCTGCTGGGCCCATTCTTTCTTGCAGATCCTTCCCCTCTCCTGAGGGAGAAACCAGCACATCGTATCTGGACTTAAGGAAACAAGTGCTGCCTTGATTTGGGGGACAGGTTCCTGCCCCTACTAAGGCTTAAGCCTCCTCTGCAAGTTTTTATCTCAATTCTGAGACAGTACCTGGAACTCAGGCAGCAGGCGAAGCTAGGACCCTGGCCAGAATCCTTAGCGCCTTGCTCCTCAGTGTGGCTCGAGGACCAGCAGCATCCCCATTACTAGGGAGCTTGCTAGAAATGCAGAATCTCAGGCCCTGCCCCAGAACTGATCAATAAGAATCTGCATTTTAATCACACTCCCCAGGTGATCTGTATGCACGAAGCAGTTGTGGGAAGCTTGGCCTTAGGTCAAGAGAGGACTAGGGGATGGAGTCGAGGGTGTGTAGACCTCAGACCTCTGCCTCGTCCATCCCACCCCTCCCACCCACTCAAAGAAGATTCTGAGGCCTTCTTGATGCCGTGGAGAGGGGCCTGGGGATCAGGACAGGGTATCTGGGCAACAGGGGGCTGCTGGACTGCTGCCTGCCTAATTTCTCTTGCACCTCAGACCCCAAACAGCTTGAACCAGGAAGGCATTAGAAAAATGGGCATCCTCCAGGATCCAACCTCCTGCCTGGTCGGAGGCCTCACTCCCCTCACTTTCTGCCCCTCATACATGCCCCTGCCCGATCCCCAACACACTACTTCACAGTCCCTGAGGTCTGAATTCCTGCTTATTTGTTCATGAAAACTACCTCAAGGTGAATTAGCTGCTGTAATGTGGTCCACCCTCGTGTGTGAACACAAAGTCACCCCACCCTGGTAAGGGAATAATTCAAAGGAATCAGAAAGCTCTGTACCTGAACGTACTTTGCAGGGCTATCTATGAAAGCAAAAATCTAGAAAGAGCCCAAATACTCAGAAATAGGACAGCAGCTAGTAAATTACAGTAAATTACCCTAAGTCAATATAAAGGACCACTAGGCCAGCCTTTAAAAGGATATTTTTGAAGAAGCTATTGGATCAACTTGGTATTGTCACATGATCCTGGGCCTCAAGGCCAAGGTATTTGGAACACCAGCTTTGTGAGTCAGACAAATATCCTAATCTTTGGGCTCGGTTAAACACGTCTGTAAAATGGAGATGATGATACTTACCTCACAGTGTTACTGCGAGGATAGCCAGCTTTGTGAGTCAGACAAATATCCTAACCTTTGGGCTGGGTTAAACACGTCTGTAAAATGGAGATGATGATACTTACCTCACAGTGTTACTGCGAGGATAAAATAACATCACATACCTCAAGGTCCTAGTCGGGTGCTGGCATTTGGTAGGCAAAAATTCATTACTGTTCCTTAATCAAGCAAGGCACAAAGTGATGCATCCGTCATGGTGACAGCCATGCAGGTATGTATGGTGTGCACAGAAATAAGGTTTCAAGGCTTGGGCAGAAAAACTAAAATTCCACAGTGGTAGAGCTATAGGGGATATCAAAATACTCTTTTTTCTTCTTTTTGTGGCCTTTGGTGCAGAGGGTTAAGTGAATCACTCTCCTGAGTGCAAGGCAGACGATCATTACCCACTCTCCCTCCCTCCTTCCATCCCTTCCTTCCTTTCTTCCTTCTCCTTTGTCCTCATTCCCTGCTCCTATTTTATTCAACCACTCTAACTTGTTTAGTGTGTATCTTTTTATCTGAACATGTTCTTGAAAATATGTATCATTACTGTTTTAAATTTTATTAGATAAATTTTAATACACACACAAAAGTAGGGACAATAGTACAAATGAATCTCAATATACTCACCTCCCAGATTCAAAAACTGTCAAGATTTTGCCTTGAAATCTTGCATAAATCTTTGCCTGAAATACATTTGCTTTATTTTCTCCTCTTTCCTTTGCTGAACGAAATACTTTTAAAGGAAATCCCAGACTTCACGCCATTTCACCCCTATATTCCTTACCTATGTAGCCCCCCAACATTAAACATTTTTCTTACCTAGCCACAATGCCTTCTTCTTCTTCTTCTTTTTTTTTTTTAAGATGACCGGTAAGGGGATCTCAACCCTTGGCTTGGTGTTGTCAGCACCACGCTCAGCCAGTGAGCGAACCGGCCATCCCTATATGGGATCTGAACCTGTGGCCTTGGTGTTGTCAGCACCACACTCACCCAGTGAGCTAACTGGCCATCCCTATACAGGATCCGAACCCGTGGCCTTGGTGTTATCAGCACCGCACTCTCCCAAGTGAGCCACGGGCCAGCCTGAGAGACACTGTGGCTTTAAGGTCCATCCATGTTGCTCTGAGAACGCTGAGTTGCTGGAACTGCTGCTTGGTGCTCCACGGGGCACCACCAGCTTTTGCCTCTCCACTCCCTAAGTGAGGGACCCTGATCGCACCCAACTCCCCTCCCTCAAGCGATGCTGCAGTGCCTGTCCTCAGACGTGTCCCCTTATGGTTCCGTATGAGCATCTCTTTGAATTATATACCTAGGAACCAGGAATGGAATTCCTGGGTAATAGGGTATATATGTCTGTCTCAATTTGACTAACGTGACACTATGAAACATATATTTGGTCTTCATCCTCGTTTACAACTCCTAAAAGCCTTGGAATTTCTAAAGTAATAAAGGTCTTTTTGTATGCTAATGATTGACTGAAGGCTAGCAGCCCTGAGATAGCTTCAGGATGGGGGCTGGTCACTGGAAAGACCAAGGCAGATCAGAGGTTTGGGACTTTCAGCCCCATCCCACAGCCTCCTGGATGGAGAAAGGCGCTGAAGGTTAGGTTGATCACCAATGGTCAAAGATTTAATCAACCATGCCTATGTAATGAAGCCTCCATAAAAACCCACAAAAGGACTGGGTTTGGAGAGCTTCCGGATAGCTGAACATATGGAGACTCCTGGAGGGCGGTGCACCCAGAGAGGGCATGGAAGCTCTGCAAACCTTGCCCTATGCATCTTTTCCATCTGTATCCTTTGTAATGTCCTTTATAAGAGAACAGTAATTGTACGTAAGTGTTTCCCCAAGTTCTGTGAGTCATCCTAGCAAATCAATTGAACATAAGGAAGGGGTCATGAAAACCCCTATTTATAGCCAA